CGAGTAGATTGTGTCTAGGAATTGTCTGAGAAGTGGAATGAGTCGGTGAAAATAGTCTTTCCTTTTGCTGCAAGTAGTAAGTATCGATAATTATCAGACGAGTAGATTGTGTCTGGGAATTGTCTGACAAGTGGAATGAGTCGGTGAAAATAGTCTTTCCTTTTGCTGCAAGTAGTAAGTATCGATAATTATCAGGCGAGTAGATTGTGTCTGGGAATTGTCTGACAAGTGGAATGAGTCGGTGAAAATAGCCTTTCTTTTGCTGCAAGTAGTAAGCATCGATAATGACCACACAAGTAGACTGTGCCCACGAATTGTCTGACAAGTGGAACGAGTCGGTGTTCGACCAGACAGAAGAATTTATCCTGAATTTTTAGTTGAAAAATAAATTTCCAGGCATCTGGCGCAAGAAGTAGAATCAGTCGACCATTACCAGACAAGTAGATTTGAACGTTCGTTGTCGGACAAGTAGTAAAAGCCGACCGTTGCCGGACAAGTAGAATTAGACGACCATTGTCATACAAGTAGAATTAACCGAGAACTTTCAGGAGAGTAGAATTAGTCGACCATTGTCAAGCGAGTAGAATTAATCGACTATTGTCAGACGAGTACAATTAGCCGAGCATTGTCTGACAAGCGTGATAATTCGACCGCTGTCGGCGAAGTAGAAATAGTCGAATCTTTCGACAGAAAGTGCGATTAGTCGAGCCACGAGTGTTGTCCCGAAACTGTCCAAACGATCGTTGCTTCTGTGGAGCAAAAGACAAGTAGCATCGTCTTTACGAGAAAAGTAGAAACGCTGTAAAACTGTTCGGACAAGTGGAATGACCCCGTCGCTGGCCAGACAGAGCCAGTATGACGGCCGACAAGAGAAATGGAACTGTCACGCATCCGGTCTAAGTGGAGTTTATCTGTTTCTGCTCAGACAAGTGGAACAATCTGCACCAAGTCAGGCGAGTGGAAAGATCCACGTTGGGACAAACGTGACGCGTGATATCGTGCTTAATGGAGACGCGACAGGTGTAATAATCGCCGATACAACGGAGCACAATGCACCGTTGAAGAAAATATGCAGCGTGCGAAGAGTTCCGGGTCCATAAATTTCCAACTGGAGTGCGCAAGATTGATCGACGAGACGAGATATTTCGCTCCCCGGGCTTCGCGGCGTCCTTACAGACGGAACACGTTAATAATGCAAAGCTCGGGGTCCATGAATTATTTAAAAAGCAGGCTGCGAACGCCGGAATACCTGAGCGAGCATCAAAGAAAGTTTCAATTAGCTGGCCGCGGGTAGTTGAGTCGAAATTTCCATTGTGCGACTGCGATTACTACGGGGATCAAGGGTCTTCCGCGGATCTTCGCAAAAACAATACAAAGTGATTTCCCTTAACAGCCCAGCACAAAGGATTGCACAATCACGGTCGAGATTTTTTGCCCGTAATTCGAGAGAACAATTTTATGCTGGCTCGTGTGTTCATTTGTGCTAGCGTACGCCCGCGGATTCCGACGACACAAAACATACAAAGAAGGCCGGGTCTCTCGTCAATATATTTTATTAAAACCAGAACACACGGCGCGCGCTGTTTGCCGGGCTGAAATCGAGCAATAAAATCAGCGGGGGATGTGCGCGGGACGAGTTCAATTTAGCGTCTCGATTTCACCGTGATAACAACGTTTCAAATGCTGTTCCAATGCATAGGTGATTTCCAATTTCCCAGTTCGACACACCCGAAAGTGAAAATTTTCTGCCCGCGGTAGACGCAGTCAATTATTTCGCTTCTGTAGCACGGCGAATAACGGATGGAGGTTTTTTTTCGTAAAAAAAAGGCACTATGGTCGACCGGTCGAACGAATAGAATATTTTCTAGATGATCAGACAAGTGGAATATTCTTTGGCTGGTCAGACAAGTAGAACATTTAGTGACTGGTCAGACAAGTAGAATATTTAGCGAATAATCAGGCAAGTAGAACATTTAGTGACTGGTCAGACAAGTAGAATTTTTATTGACTGATCAGATAAGTAGAATACTTAGTAACTGTTCAGACGAGTAGAATATTTAGCAACTGATCAGACAAGTAGAATAAATAATGACTGTTCAGACAAGTAGAACATTAAGCAACTAGTCAGACAAGTAGAACATCTCCTGACTGGTCAGACAAGCGAAGAATATTCTATGGCTGTTCAGACAAGTAGAATCTCTCGTAATTGATCGAACAGTCTATTTCGCGGCTGATAGGACAAGTAGAATACTCATTAACTCATCAGACGACTCAAATTTCCGTCGACCGGTTACGCGACTAAATTCCATACCTTCGCACAAGCTGGCCATGTGCTTACCCCGGCAGTCTCGGAACAGCACGAGCATCGTTCAACCGACTCTCGGTAGCAATTATCCACCCAAAGGAGTCCAACACCAAATATCCCATAAGCCTTATCAGTTAACTACTCACTCTAAGAACACCTCGGAATCGCTTCTGGGCAACACCAACCTCGGCAGAACGATCGCCCTCTTGCGCTTGTTCTTGATGGTTTGCATGGAGAACTGGAATTCCGAGGTCTGTACCGGCGAGTGCGGGCTGAGTATGGTGATCTTTCTGTCGCTGCCACCTGGACTGGTCAGTGAGAACACGTTGGACGGAGGTGGCAGGCTCAGATGCTGGGGTATCTTTCTTTCGAGGCCAGTGTTGGCGAACAATCCTCTTCGGACTTCAGCGTTTAGGCTCTCCTCTCTGTGGAGGTTGTCACTGCTCTTCGACTCGACAGTGATTATCTTCCTGGCGTCCTTCGTGGACGATAGGAAGCTCCTGTATTGGCTCTTCGAGGTGGTCATGTGGGACTCGGAGCTCGTCGACAGGAACTCCAGGGACCTTGAGTCGTCGCCGTAGCGGTCGTCAGCGCTGACGAAGTTCCTGGAGGACCTCAGGCTCTCCATGGACCTGGCTGACATCTGTCCGCCGGTGGTAGCAGTCAGTAGATGTTGCTGGTTCGGTTTCTGAAGCTTGATCAGGCTCTTGACTTCGGGCTCGTAGTCCTCCTGGCTGGAGGACGATTGGGGACTCCGGTTGAATAGGCCGATGCGGGTGTCGGAGAACCTGGACACCTCTTCCCTGACGCTTAAATTGGTCCTGGTCACCTGACGGTTCATCAGCAGCGACTCTGCCTCCTCGGGAACGTCCAGCGAGTGGCGGTCGTGCCCTGATATCCTGTTGCCCTTCTCGTCGGTGACCAAAGGCTCAGGGGTCTCGTCGTCCTTCGGGATGTTCTCCACCTCGCTCTCCGAGGCGCACTCCATGGTGTCGGACTCGGTGGACCTCTTGCAAGTCTCCAACCTGGAGAGCCTGGAAGAGGCGACCAGAGTCCTGGATCTCGACTGCTGGCGAGACATCTTGCTCACCAACGTTATCGACTCTCTTTTCTCGTCTGTCTCGTCATCGTCCATCTTCCGCGATGAGCCTGCCGCGAATTCCTCGAGGCACCTCCCTCGACGGGAAACGTGGGGTCCGGAGGGTTTCGGTGGGGCTCACTGCTGGCCCTTTTTCTTCAGATCTCGCCACCAACGAGGGCAATCGGATCCTGATTCCGCCCGGACTGCACGAGTCATCCAAGCGAGGAACCGATCCCCCGCTGCTCTCTTCTTCTCCCGCTGAATCTGTTATGCTATCTGGCTCGACCGCGCGCGGCCTGGCTGAAAGAGTTAACGCTAGGTTCGGATCGTGAGCTTAGGGTATCGCGTGAACGTCTTTTGGAGTACCTTCGATCACCGTTCATCGACCGGGAGCTCGACGAGAGCGATTCAGCTAGGACAAGATAGACTGAATTCGAGATCCGTCGAGTTGGTTAAGTCGTGGGTCACGTACGACCCTAATGACTCGCGTCGGACTTAAAAGGATCGATTTAGCTAGCTCTGCAAAGGCTGGCCTGGACTTAGGGTACACCGAGACGGGTTTTGAATCCTAATCCTAGCCCAGATTCTTACGACAATTCTAATTCCCAGCAAGCGCAACGAAGTCAAGCATCCTTCCCAATCGCCACTTTGTCTGCGACTACAAGGTCTAGTCTATCGTAAACTGAACCGGTGCCAGAGTCAACTCTGACCCGAATTCAGAGACACGCGGAACTCGTGTCTTCCATATGGTTAAATTGCCGAGTTCGACAAGGGTTACTTTGAGGCGCCGTAACTTCGCGATAAAAAATCGCAGCTCTGTTTCTTTTTTTTTGAATTAAAGAGGAAGATTCGATCTTCATCTCAGTGTAAACGGCATCTCCGGGAAAAATTTTGCAGAGCCCGTGCATTTCGTCGAACTCGGCGCTTCTGAATAGAACAACAATATTCAACAGGGCCTCGCATTTAAAGGACCACAGTAGCGAGGTTGCGTCGAACTTAATATCGAGGAAAACCATTTGAAAGTAGAAGTTCCAAGCTTTAATTTAAAAAAATATTCATCCGCGTGCAATGATTTTTCGCTGAGTTATCGTCCGTCGAAGTTGACCGATTCTTATCAAAAATTTGTCTATGCTGTAACTTTCTTCGGCGGTGTGTGTCGAAGGGCGACGATGAATATCTGGGTCGCCGGTGACCCGGGCACCGGTGGTCGCGGCCAGTAAGAAGATTAGGCAAACGATCGGGGCATCCTCGTTAACGTAATAGGATCGCGGGCTAGATTTGTTTCAATTTTGAACGGCGAATCAATTGCCGGGACTATTAGACGGTTGCGGGTAAGCAGTTCGGATCGTTCCGTAGAAAATTAGATTGTCGTCGTCGTAGGATTCCGGTAATCGCGTTAACCGGTCCGCGAGAATATCCGCGTGGTTCGATACTAACGACGATTGGATCGAGGACTGATGCGAAACCGATCGGTTATCCGGTTCGAATTCGACGGCCAGCAATTTTTCACGGTTTAATGAAACTGGAGCGTCGCCAGCAACGAAACTTCGCGCGCAGGTTGATTGTACAGTAGCCACGGCGAATTAATTCTAGAACGGCAAGGATCTCGTGTTCGTTGTTTTTATAATTTCATCTCGACGCTCGAGCGTTGAATCTCGACGGAACCTGAATCCCTTGACGTACACCTTGGAGAGAGAGAGAGAGAGAGAGAGAGAGAGAGAGAGAGAGAGAGAGCTTCGGAGGTTTTATTAAAAAATTGGAATCGTAGAAACGGTACTTCCTGCTAAATATACGGTAAACGATAAAAGAACGAGACAAAGCGAAGGAAATAAAGGAAGAAATTGGCGAAACGCGACGTGGTTAGAAATCTATTTCAAAAGTAACATTGCGAATAATTTAGAATCGAATTCAGTTGCAAAATTTTACAACAAATTTGTTCACTCAACAGGAAAATCGAAGTATTCCTAATTTGTGATCGAGAAATTATCGATCTTTGATCGGATGTAATTCCGTTAACAGCTATCGTAAAATTATGCTTCTTTTTTTAAATTGTAGATTGAAGTATCTACTTTATGACAATATATCCTAATGCTTAATATCATGCACCCCATAAAATCCGACGGGAGTTTTTTCCATCCCTTTTCGTCATTTCCAGTAATTGCAAAATTAAAGAGAGCATTTTAGGACAAAAATTTCAGAACAATTTGGGAATTAATTATGCAATTTTTAATTGAGCAAACAAAATAATTTTTAGAGTTTGTTGTACGTGTAATTATTTTTAAAATTCATGTAAAAATGAGTAATTGATTTTATCCGGCAGACCATTCGCCAATATAATATCAATAGATTTATGTAGCAGATATTTATCAGCACAATATTAAATTTATTTTACTACATTATTATTCTTAGCAATAAATTAAATTTATTAGCAAAATTTAAAGATGCATTTTAGTCACTGCCCAGCAGTCTACTCCCTTTATCGTGTAAAAATAAATTCAAGTCATACAGTCCAACTTGGAGATACATATATTTGTCGCCGACTGTTTATTTGTCCGGGTTCGTCGAGAATGTTGCACAATGGCCGGCTCGATTAGAGTGCCGAGTTAAGTTTAGTCCGCGGTGTCCGACGGCTTATGGGGCCATGTTGTTCCCGGCATCGTTCGCAAGGAAAACATCTCCAGCGGAGTGTAAACAAAGATGCGACGCGAGCAAATAAATCGCGCGGCGCGGCGGGAGCGATTTACGGGGGTCATCCGGCGGTGATTTACGGCACCGTCGGCTCCGAAATACTTTTGACACTTCACTCGGGCCGCCGTAAGCCCGCCTGGCCCGCTNCTTCGGAGGTTTTATTAAAAAATTGGAATCGTAGAAACGGTACTTCCTGCTAAATATACGGTAAACGATAAAAGAACGAGACAAAGCGAAGGAAATAAAGGAAGAAATTGGCGAAACGCGACGTGGTTAGAAATCTATTTCAAAAGTAACATTGCGAATAATTTAGAATCGAATTCAGTTGCAAAATTTTACAACAAATTTGTTCACTCAACAGGAAAATCGAAGTATTCCTAATTTGTGATCGAGAAATTATCGATCTTTGATCGGATGTAATTCCGTTAACAGCTATCGTAAAATTATGCTTCTTTTTTTAAATTGTAGATTGAAGTATCTACTTTATGACAATATATCCTAATGCTTAATATCATGCACCCCATAAAATCCGACGGGAGTTTTTTCCATCCCTTTTCGTCATTTCCAGTAATTGCAAAATTAAAGAGAGCATTTTAGGACAAAAATTTCAGAACAATTTGGGAATTAATTATGCAATTTTTAATTGAGCAAACAAAATAATTTTTAGAGTTTGTTGTACGTGTAATTATTTTTAAAATTCATGTAAAAATGAGTAATTGATTTTATCCGGCAGACCATTCGCCAATATAATATCAATAGATTTATGTAGCAGATATTTATCAGCACAATATTAAATTTATTTTACTACATTATTATTCTTAGCAATAAATTAAATTTATTAGCAAAATTTAAAGATGCATTTTAGTCACTGCCCAGCAGTCTACTCCCTTTATCGTGTAAAAATAAATTCAAGTCATACAGTCCAACTTGGAGATACATATATTTGTCGCCGACTGTTTATTTGTCCGGGTTCGTCGAGAATGTTGCACAATGGCCGGCTCGATTAGAGTGCCGAGTTAAGTTTAGTCCGCGGTGTCCGACGGCTTATGGGGCCATGTTGTTCCCGGCATCGTTCGCAAGGAAAACATCTCCAGCGGAGTGTAAACAAAGATGCGACGCGAGCAAATAAATCGCGCGGCGCGGCGGGAGCGATTTACGGGGGTCATCCGGCGGTGATTTACGGCACCGTCGGCTCCGAAATACTTTTGACACTTCACTCGGGCCGCCGTAAGCCCGCCTGGCCCGCTCGCTTACATTGTAATTAGATTTGTTGCAGCGCGCACAGTGAATTATCTCCGACAGCTCTTGCCTGCTCGTAATCGTCCAGCAGAACCGAGAAAAACCGTGCGAGCTGCGCGCGGTCTTTCTGCATCCCGCTGCCAGAATTGCACGCGGAATCTTTTTTATAAATCTAGGTTACACTGCTCGAGAAAAGTACAGCATGGACAGATTTTTAATAAAAATTGGCCAACGTTGACGGACGATAACTTCGTGAAAAATCAGCGTGAAATGTTGGACAAATATTGGCCAACTTCGACCGACGATGACTCCGCGAGAAATCATTGTACGTAGACGAATATTTTTTTAAATTAAAGCTTGGAACTTCTACTTTCGAATGATTTTTCTAGATCTTAAGTCTGACGTAACTTCGCTACTGTAACACTTTAAATGTGTAGCCATGTTGTCATATTGAAAAATGTTGTCATATTGATAAGTATCAAGTTTGACGAAGTGCACAGACTTTGTAAAATTTTTTCCGCAGATGCCGTTTGTAGTGAGATGAAGATCGATCTTTCTTCTTTAATTGAAAAAAAAAGAAACGAGGCTGCGATTTTTTCTCGCGAAGTTATAATACCTTAAAGTAACCCTTGTCAAACACGGCAATTTTCGATGTGAAAAACGTGGCTTCGCATTTAAATGGCTACAGTGGTGATGGTGCGTGGAACTTAAAATCGAGAAACAGTGTCTGAAAGCAGAGATTTCGAGCTTCAATTAAAAAAAAATTTCATCATCCTACGATCACAACTCTCTATTCTGTTCATTTTTGAATCCGCGAAAATCTTCGAGAATCTCGCAAGCAACGATTTCATTTCTCATTCGGGCGAAAAGCGAACGTCCAATGCAGCTGTGCGCCGAGTTTAAACGCAATCGAACGGTTCATATTCGAGACATCGTCGAGACGTTCGAAAAAGACCGCGTTTCGGGGCAATTTGCGGTAATTAATCTGCGCGATAAATTGTCGGAACGAGGTCGTGTTTGGTCTCGAAAGCGTCCGAAACCCAGATTTAGAAGAGCAGGTCCAGGGTGTCGGTCTCCCGCCGCGGCTCAGAGACGAATCTAGACCGAATGCGTCCGTGCCTCATAATAACGAATACATTTCCATGGTACGCGCTATAATTAAACGACGCGGAGCAGCTCAAAGCCCACCGGGCATTCCTACCGGCAGACGTCGACGCCTCTATTGTCGACGTTCCTCTTCAAAAGGGACCATTGTCGCCCGCCGACTTCGAGTCCCGCTCGGATCCCGACGAATCAGCCGATCTAATTCGACGCCGGACAATCTGCTCTTTTGCTTTTATCAAGGCGTCGTTCATCCGCGCGCTATACTTAGG